GCATGGTAGCATACACCTATAATCCCAGCAACTTGGGAAACTGAGGCAAGAGGATTACAAGTTCAAGATCAGCCTCAGCAACTTAGCAAAACCCTGTCTCAAAATAAAATATAAAAAGGGGTGGGGATAGAGTAAAGTGCCCCTGGGTTCAAAAAACAAAGTAAACATTTGTCATAGTTTKTTTTGACTTTTTAGACCCATGCTTTTCTTGATTTAAGGGTATTTTTGAAATAAGAAAGTTGTATTAGATGAGCCTTCCATTTTTTATAGTTTATAATTATTTAATAGATTATCTTGGAATTCCTATAGCACTGTCTATCAGGGTAATTGTTAATACTTATTTAGCAATGTCTGTTAGGGTAAATATGGAATATTGTTTACTTTTAAAATAATTTGGATGGAAAGATTAGTAGGATAATAAGGGAAACTCAGAAGACTTCAGTAATTTATTTTTTTTAGRACAATGCTCTAGTATCTTAGTGAATAGACATAGTAAACACTTAAATATCTTTTGGCAGTGTGTTGAAAATTGAAGCTAATGTTGCTCCTTTTTAAATATTATCCATCAGAAATGAGYTATTCAGAGCTGGTTAATTCTATAAATATTAACTCAAGAAAGGTATAATGATTAATAAAATTAAGTGTTTTTAGGACACCTTAAAAGCAGCCTCCATCACTAAATGTCAATAATTATACATTCTGAACAGCAACTTAACTTTTTAAATGGATGGCCCATTATGGGTTGGAAGCTCAATAATGGGCCATTTATTTACTCATATAAATGCCAATTCTCTTTTAAAAAAATGAAAATAAAGTAGATGACCCATTTAAAGCTAATGATTTATACAGAAATTAAATATGTCATGAAAGTTTATGAGGAAGTTGAGTGATCAGACCAGTGAAGAAATTTAGATGGACAGATTCCTATACCTGAGTCATTTCATTTGGAATTTAATTTTCTAAAAAATAGTTTTGAAAAAGAATTCTCAGTCTAACCCTRTGAAGTAAAACCCATTGTTACAAAGATCAGCTATTATAATGACCAATTTTTAAATTTAAATTTTTAATAAAAATTATGTTTTGTTTTAGGATGGTATCGGCAGTGCAATATTATTCCTTATAGCAAAGATGTTGACCTAGGGATTTTTATACAAGATTACAAATCTGATATTATTATAGCATTTCAGGATGCAGGACTTCCACTCAAACACAAGTTTGGGAAGGTCAGTAACAAAACTTGTCTTTATTTTATAAGTGACATATCTCAATGATAGAGTTTATAGTATGTAACTCAGAATAATTTTTTTTGTTTTAATAGCAATAGTTTATTTTGGCAAGTGTTGCTGGTATAGATGTAGCAAAATTTTTTAAAAAATAGGTGAGTTGAGTAAAATATTTTAAATATAATTGGTCCAGTTCTGAGTAGATCACTACATTTGCCTAAGAAAACTGCTCAATATGAAAAAAATGGAACACTGCACAATTTGTGTGTCATCATTGCACAGGGACATGCTAATCTTCTCTGCATTGTTCCAATTTTAGTATACGTGTTGCTGGAGCTAGCAGTGCTTATATAATTTTGTCACTCCGTATCAATGGATGTTTGTTACCACTTGTGATTTCTGTACAATTTAATGAAAAGCTAGGAAAATCTGGCTTTTAATCTATCAGTGAGGAAAGAAGGATCTTTGACTCTTGTAAATGAATTTATTGTTACTTTATTAGGCAATATTTAATGTAAAAAAGTAATCCCACCCACCTTATCTGAAGTTATATTGTTTCTCATTAGTCATTTAATTTTATGTTTACCTCTGAATTAATGTCATTATAATTATCAACACAAAATATTTCACTGATTGCTAGGGGGTAGAAATTTAGAATCATTTTAAAGAAGTACTTCAATTTCTTGTTTATCTCACATGTCTTAAGTTATAGCAGTTTCCTCAGAGGTCTATTTCTCAGGGATAGGATATTATGGTGAAGATAAAATGTTACTCCAGACAATTTGATTTCTATGCTCCTAAGCCCATGACCCTTTGTGATCATCTTGCTCTTAATTTGCCTGTCCCAGGGGAAGTATTATCCTGTAAAGCAAGTAGAAATATATTTAGTCTCTAGAAAATTATTTCTTTCATCAAAAATAATCATCCTATTTTTCTAAAAAGGTTTAATCAAATATTTTCCTGAGGTCTAAGTCAAAGCAATAGAGCTTTTGTCATTTAACCTTTACTGAACATTCACCATGTCTGGTACTGTTCTCTGCACCTGGAACACGAAAATGAATAAATTACAGTTCTTATCTTTGAGAAGTTCACTGATTTGGAGGGTGGGGGTGACACAAATTTTTATGTGACTAGTAATGAAATAGACAGCTACACCAAATCTGATGGACACATAATTATTTATAGGATAAGTACTTTAAGGAAATCCTCTCAATTTTTTTTCTGTACCTTAATTTTTTATTTATTCTTTTATCATGTATATAATGTAATGATCTGTGCTAGTATGTGGTTATATGTAATGCTGCTTTACTTACTTACCGATTGATGATGATGAGAGACTTATTTCCTGATTATTTTTCTTGGTTATTAAGGAAGTAATTTTTCTTTGGATCCTTTCCTTCTTTAGTCAGAAAGGGACTCTAGAGCAGAATGTTTCCATTTTCTCTGCAGTGATAATTTTAACTACCATAAGTCATTTAYTTTGAGTTGTCATCTGTTGTAAGAAACATTATTTTTATGTGCATTTAAGAAAAAATAAACATTATTACTGATACATCCTAATTTCAGAGGTGCTACAACTTGAAAAAAACATGTATCTTAAAATTAATGCTCTGTATATATAAAAGATAAGAATCCTTTTAATTTTCTAAAATTTTTTAAAATGTATTGGCATTATTTCAATCTATGAAAGTTTTCATCTTCACCCTAGGTGGAAGACAGCTTGGAACTATCCTTCCAGGGAAAAGATGATGTAAAACTTGACATTTTTTTCTTCTATGAAGAGACTGACCATATGTGGAATGGAGGCACTCAGGCCAAATCAGGAAAAAAATTTAAGTACGAATCAGATAAGTATTTATTAAAAGTGGCTATAAAAGTAATTTCAGAAAGAAAAAAATAGGGGAGGGCTAGGGCTATAGCTCAGTGGTAGAGTGCCAGCCTCGCGTATATGAGGCACTGGGTTTGATCCTCAGCACCACATAAAAATAAATAAGTATAAAGTGTCCACCTACAACTAAAAAAAAATAGTTTTGGGGCTGAGATTGTGGCTCAGTGGTAGAGMGCTCACTTAGCATAGGCGGGACCCAGGTTCGATCCTCAGCACCACACGAAAATAAAGGCATTGTGTTGTCCATCTACACCTAAAAAAATAAATATTTAAAAAAATAGCTTTAAAAAAACAGGGGAATAACTGAAAGAAAAAGAGCCCACATTTGTCAAACTCCATTATTTAGTTTATGCTTTCTTAGCTTACCCATAGAGTCTAGTTATGCCTGTGAAGGCAGAACCTCCTATAAGGACAGTCTGGGAGGAGGAAATATTCCTAGGTTTATCAATGGAAGGAGTCATGATCAAAACTCTGAAGTCATCAAAAAGAATATCAAAGCAAGGCACACAAAAATCAAGCTCAGAGAATAAAGTAAAAAACACTGCCCATCACAGTTATAGGAGTCTGATAATTATATAGGAATGGGTTAGGGTTGGTAAGGAGATAGTCATGGTGAAATGAAGTTTAAGTGAAGAAATTGAGATTGAATGGGGATGAGTCCATGAGTGCTAGGCAAGCTTTAGAAATGTGCCTGTAATATAGAAATAAAGAATATACTTTGGGCATACAGCTATCATAGTTTATCAATGAATGATGTAACAGTATTTTACATGTGACTAATAAAGGGAAAACACTGTTATATGACACATGATTCACAGATTGGGAAGAGAGGTGTTCAGAATTGATGAAATTTAGTATGTTAGATTGGTATTATTAATACTTAAATTTTTAAAAATGCTGTCCTACTCAAACTCTTATACTGGATAAGACAAAAATGACATTAGAGTACCTGCTCTCTTCTGTAATGCACTCTGTCCATGGAGTGGGGTAGAATGGAAAGAGAGAGTGAGCAAGAGCACAGCAGCCCAAAGAGCATAGGCTTGGGTCAGGCAACCCTGAGAAATTTCATCTCCACCCTAACTTTGACAATTCAACTTCTCTGAACATGAAGTGCCTCATCTATTAAATTTAGGTAAGAACTACTGTATCAGCACTGTTCTGAACACTGCTATAGCACTGTTTCAGGCACAACCCAACCTGAGGATCTGTGAGGCTCTCTGAGAACTTAAATGTTATTTGTTCAAGTAAATGAAGCAGTCAGACAGCAGTCTGTATCTAGAGTTCAGACTTATACCCACTATTCACAATATCCCTTATATAACTTAACGTAGTGCTTAGTACTTAGTAAGTTAGCAGCATTTAGGGACTTATTGATATTGTTATCTAGTATTATTAATTTTATGATTATAATGTGATCACTATCATTAGTGCCATTATCATGTCACGTGACCAGTGGCATAAATTTATCTCACCAACTACCTGAGATTGGGGCTTCTATTAGTTAATCTATTTGAGCCATTGAACATAAAGAATTCTATAAATAGGAAGGATTTGAGCCATTGAACTTAAAGGAGAATTCTATAAATAGGAAGGATTTCCAGACTCATCCTGATTTCTTCTGAGTACATTGATCCACCCTCCTGGGATTCCTGAATTTTTATCTGAAGGCAAGGAGTCTTTATGTAAGACTGAACTTGTTCTGAAAGTTTGAGAGTACTTCAAACCTTTTTTCAGAGTCATAAAGCATCCCCAAACTGATGCTGATCCTAGAGCACATTCTTTTTTTTTTTTTTTTTTTTTTTAGATTTAGGTCTATAAAACATCATTTTTTTTATATTTTTTTATTGGTTGTTCAAAACATTACAAAGCTCATGATATATCTTCTTTCATACATTTGATTCAATTGGGTTATGAACTCCCATTTTTACCCCAAATACAAATTGCAGAATCACATCGGTTACACACTCACATTTTCACCTAATGGCGTATAAGTGACTGCTGTATTCTGCTACCTTTCCTATCCCCTACTATCCCCCCTCCCCTTCCCACCCATCATACCTCTCTACCTCATCTGCTGTTGTTCAATTCTCTCCCTTGTTTCCCCCCCTTTTCCCCTCACATCCTCTTCTATGTAATTTTGTGTAACATTGAGGGTCTCCTACCATTTCCATATGTTTTCCCTTCTCTCTCCCTTTCTCTCCCCCCACTCGTCTTTGTTTAATGTTAATCTTTTCCTCATGCTCTTCCTCCCTGTTCTGTTCTTAGTTGCTCTCTTTATATCAGAGAAGACATTTGGCATTTGTTTTTTAGGGCTTGGCTAGCTTCACTTAGCATAATCTGCTCTAATGCCATCCATTTCCCTGCAAATTCTATGATTTTGTCATTTTTTATTGCTGCGTAGTACTCCATTTTGTATAGATGCCACATTTTTTTATCCATTCATCTATTGAAGGGCATCTAGGTTGGTTCCACAGTCTAGCTATTGTGAATTGTGCCTCTATGATCATTGATGTGGCAGTATCCCTATAGTACGCTCTTTTAAGATCCTCAGGGAATAGTCCGAGGAGGGCGATAGCTGAGTCAAATGGTGGATCCATTCCCAGCTTTCCCAGGTATCTCCATACTGCTTTCCAAATTGGCCTTACCAATTTGCAGTCCCACCAGCACTGTACAAGTGTACCCTTTTCCCCACATCCTCGCCAACACTTAATTGTTGTTTGACTTCCTAATGGCTGCCAATCTTACTGGAGTGAGATGGTATCTTAGGGTGGTTTTGATTTGCATTTCCCTAGAGCACATTCTTGAAGCTTTTATTATAGTTTTTCTTTTCTTTCTAAATGACAATAAACTCCTTTTTGCTGGGTAAGCTCTGATTCAAAGAATTAGAAATTAGTAAATTAATGAATCAGAAATTAGTAAATTAATAAAGCTTAGAAATTAGTAAGTTAATAAGTATATATTTGACTGTCATTGCAACTAAATGAACATAAGGGTTAAATGTTTTAGACATTCAACTATAGTTTGTTTAAAATATGAAAGAGATGCCAATTTAATATATAATTATGGGTTTTTTGAAAAATTTGTTTTAAAGTATAACAATAAAAAATAGTGCATGGAGCCAGTGTGCTTGCTTTAGAATCCCAGCACTACATTTAACCAACTATATTACTTTGGGCAAGTTTTTTCATCTTTTTCCAGAGTTTTCTCAACTGTAAAATGGAAATAATATGATAAATTGCCACATAAAGTTATTTTAAGGATTAAAACAGGTAATTTTTTAAAAAGAAAGCTATGAAGAATGACAAGACGCATGGAGTAACCAGGCTTTGTGGCACACATTTGTAATTCCAGTAGCCAAAAGGCTGAGGCAGGAGGATGGCAAGTTCAAGGCCAACCTCAGTAATTTAGTAAGGCCATAAACAACTTTGTGAGATCCTGTCTCAAAATAAAAAGGGCTGGGGGTGTGACTCAGCCCCCTAGGGTTCAATAACCAGTATCAAAGAAAAAAAATGTCATGAATACTAAGTAATTGTTACCTGCTATTATTAGTATTGGTACTAGTGGTAGTAAACTATTCCTCCTCTTAGTCTTATGAGAAATGTATAGATTAGAGATCTGTGTAATTATCTCAGTATGAAAGTGCCACATTTGTTCTTAAAGAACTCATACAAGAGTGCCACCCTTTTTTAAGAAAGATAATTTCTAGAGCTAGTATTAGAGTCCTTTTGTTCTTAAATTTCCTTCTAAGGGGTGAATTTTTCTTCTTACTGACATGATATGAAACTCACAAACCTCAAAAGAACTATTCATTTCCAACCGCTACATTTCTGGATAGAAAAAGCTTCTTTCATTCTGCTTCAACTGCTCTTTATAGTAGCAGTGTTTGGGAAGTGTGAAGTGTTCTGACTATTTAACAAGAGAAATGAGCAGTGATAGAACTGTCTGGACAGATGGTGTGAGTCCCAGATTTTCTATCATGTTACCGTGACCTTAAAAGGCAGAGAAAAGAACAGGAGATGGCTGTGTGAAATAGTTTCTTTGGAAGATTCCCCTAGCCATATGCCATTTTCATTCTTTTCGGCACTATTTACTTTAAGGAAATCTATTTTTAACACTACCATTCCTAGGGGGGAAGAACCCAAACCTTTAAAACTAAGGTAAGGGTCTTTTTATCTTTTATAATACTGTATTTTTTATTCATTTGTAGTTCATGCTGAGAAACATTATAGAAAGTGTGCCATTTTTTAAGAGGCTGAAAGGAACTCTGGAGAGAAAGATTCTCTTCTTTCTAAACTTTACTCTGCATGCCTACAGAAAAATGTCTTGGTCATAAGATTGAATAATAATTTGAATATTAACAGCAAAAACAAAGATACAGCTAGCAGAGTATCTGTTAGATATAAGGCACTATGATAGGTACTTTATGTATTTAATTTTAGATAATCCTTATATTGTCACAGTGGGCTAGGTATTTTCACCAGTTGTTAGACATGAGGAAACTACAGCTCARAGAAGTAATTTTATTCAAGATCATTGGCCATGAATGTCAGAGCCAAAATTTAACCTCAGACCTGTTCAACTTGAGCCTAAATGTTTTCTGCTAAGAGTTAAAAGGGTAAGTGAGTTAATGTAACTCATTTAGAACAGTGCCCAGCACATTGTTAAGTACCATGTCAGAATTAGCTACTGCCACTACTATCATTACTATGCGGCTATTACTACTGCTGGGTGTATAGGCACAAAGCATAGCACTTCAACACAGCACTGACTTAGTTTTGTATTCTCTGGGCAAGCATTTTCTTACAGSTATCATAATACCCATTCTGTTTACTCTTTTTACTCCTGAACATAAAGTCATCTTTTATCAAATATTCAAATTCCAAATTTTGTTTTTAACTATTGTCTTCATTTTTAAAAAAATATTTTTAGTTATACATGAGCACAATAT